TTCATGTCATGAATTGTCACCTGAAAGATTTCGCACATCATTTCATTTCGGCACTCTAACAATTCCACAAAGCAACTTTCATTTCGATAGGTGGATGCCGGATGGATGGATAGATAGACGGTGTGTTGGATGAAGCAGTGCAACGGAATTTACTAGAAAAAATACAAAATACAGTAAAGTGGACATAGGGCTCATGACATCGCAAAGGAATCATCGCATTCCTGATTGCGTCTACTGCTGCTCAACCAAATGTCCTACAATTCCAAGTTCACTCTCAAGAAGGAGAAAAATTCCCTCTGTAGCATATTCTTCCTTACTCAGTTTGTTACTTCTTTCAATGCATATTTACCGCCTTCACTGTTCTATCACTCACAATCCACTTTGCTCCTTGGCAGATATTTTCACACAATGAACGCTTCACCCCGCCACGTCGACTCAATGCCCACCACGTGCAATGCCCTGTCAGCTCTGCGCCTCACGACGATGACTGGACTAGGTCGACGGAGAAGTAAGCTGATGGTTGCATAATGGCACGCAATATTTCATTTCTTTCCTTTTAATCTACCGCTTGGAATGAAAAATATTCCAGTGAACCGCCTGTGGTAGTCATTTTCCCTTTTCACCAAACTCAACTACCAAACATCATAGTTAAGTGCAGGAAATTCCGTCAAGCTGCTCATGTGGAATTAGGAGAAGAGCGTGCTACTGGGAGGCAGTGGGAAGGAGTGGTAAGCGGACTACCAAGCAAGCATTGACGTGTGATGTGGCAATTCGTGCACCTGCCTTCCCACTGATTAAATGCCAGCTGAGGCATGAGGAATGCATCTCGTCCTACCTGCCATTTTGCCTCCAAGCAATGCAATGTAGTGTAATGCGGAAGCAAGCTAACTCTTTCATCTCTGCATGTTCTTACTTCTGCTACGCGACGTAGCTAAGGAATGACGGATGTAGCTTTCTCATCCCTCTTCACCACAGTCACACCACCTCCTCTCTATTGCCTTGACTTATCGCCTCATTAGAGAAGAGTGAAGACACTGCAGATTAAAAGCTGAATAAATACACACTCGGCCAACAGTTGCAAGAGCTCTTATTCATATGAGAGGATGTATGGATAGGTGCAGAATTGGATGAAGGCGCGTTAATGAAACGATGGATGAATGGTGTGCACTTGGATAATTCCCTATCGTTGTACCTACTGCAGTCCTCCTCGTCATTATTCTC